CTAACCTTTTGGGACCTTCCCTAAATAGACCAAAATGGGGCCTCGATTCGCTTTGGAGTGCTGGAACAAGCCTCGCTCCAGTAGAGAGGTTAGAATAAAGGTATAAGGGTACCCTTTTTTCTGCAGTCTAGTTTATAAGGGAAACCTCCCGACCAAAAAAAGGGGTGAAAAGGGGCACCTAGCTGGGGGACCTCGTTTTGTTCCCATCCAAGATTTCCTCAAAGCCCTTCGCGAAATCCGCGGACATCCTCGCGGACATCCCCACCCGAGCACCCCCTCGGACCCAGGACCCGGGCAGCGGGACGTGGTGCCCCTCCGGGAAGTGGATGCGAGCCTGGCACGGATTCGCACACCGATTCCGAGCGAGCGGTGCCGCTGAAAGAAAGCTGCGGCCAGGAAGTGCCTTGAAGTTCCACAGGCCCGAAACATGCACTGCGTGGAAAGCTTCCTGTTCATGTTCTTTGAATTATTCCGTGTCTTGAAAGCTGTTTGCTTTTCATGTTAAAAAGGGATGTTCTTTGAATGCTGAAAGTGCATTTCGACAGTGGTTTGCTTCTCATGGAAAGGGCCATGACAAACCCCATTAAAAATAAAGAGACCTCCCAAGACCTTCCGGTGGATTTCCGCGAGGACAAGGCAGCACCCATCCAGGAAAAGCCCCAGGTCTGGGAAGGAATTCTGCATCCTGCAAAATACTGAAGTAGCTGATAAGGGTTCTTCAGGGTTTATCTTACTGCCCCCGCTTTCTGGGGTCTCCTCCAAAACTACGTTAAATGTTAGGGCGGACCAAATGTGAGGCATCATCTGAACAAGCAATGGGCCAGAACAGACCTGTTTTCGGGCGCCTTTGAAGGGGAGTTATGTCCACCAACCACTTTCTTCATGAAATTTCACAATGGTGACCCCGGATTCATACATTCCTGCTCAGCAATATGGAGGTGTTCCCCTCCAAAGGTGATGCATCACCAAAACCTGAACACCATGCTATATAACAAATACGGGTTTAGTCCGGAGTTAACATTAACCGAACGAGTTACAGGCTTCAGTGACGCATCACACCTGTTGCTTCACGTTCAGGGAGAGAGCAAAGGGCGAGAGGCTTTGTCTTCTGCGCGGAAAGGGCTGATGTATACATCTCCCAAGAGGATAAACCGGAAGTTCGTGTGTATTCGACTCCCGCAGAGCAGTCGTCCCTGATCTGGCCCCTCTTTCTTTGACCCCCGCGGTCCGGATTGCAACAATGCTCTCCTACTGAGTAGCGTGGAAGCCCCAAAAAACCATGGGGTTTGGAGGAACCTCCTTTTCAGGGACCCCTTTTCGAGGTTGACAGCACCAGATTGTGAAGATACTGCCAAGCTCGGGGATGGAAGCAAGCTCATACCACGCATGGAATCAATCACTCATACCGTCCCCACCCCCCCCCCCAAAAGAAATCAATCAATCAACAAGTTGTGCCTAAACAAAACGAAGCTCTCAAGAATGATCCCCCCCCGGTAAAGAAAAGAAACAAAAGCAAAACAACGTATTCGAGAGTCCCAAACATATGCAAACACAACAGGCCTGAACCAATAGTAAACAGAAAAACCGGGGATTCTTGGAAAATTCAAGTTGCTTTCCTTCAGGGATGTGTACTTCCTGGGGAAGGGGTTAGCCGCACCTGGTCTCCGAGCGACATCGAATGAGAACAGCTAGGTCCTCCAGTAGAGAGGTTTGAGTAAGGGTACCCTTTGTCTGTAGTCTATTTTAGTAGGGGAACCCTTTTCTAAAAAAGGGGTGAGAAAGGGCACAAATCTGGGGGGGTTGCTTAGCGATAACTCCGCCTTTATTCCTCATTCACCCATCGCTCCAGCCATTTTTCCAGGGGTTTGGACAACTGCTTCAAGAGAAGGATCCCTGGGGCTGGTACGGCTAGAATTCCAAAAAGGCCGGCTGGAAAAGGTTGAGTTCCTTCAAACATCGGCCATTTCCCGCAAATCTGTGGTGCCTTTCCGGAAGAACCCCAAAAATGGGGAAGATTCGCCTAGCGCACTTGGGCTGGAAGCTTCACAACTGAGGTGCCAACATATATGACCCCCTATTTTTGGTGGCTGTCTTGGCTTCGAACCTCCCAACAAAACACACCCGTCTCCTCCCAACCACCGCCCTGACAGCCTGCTCCTCCATAGTGGCAGCATCCAAAACCACGCAGAAGGAGTCGCCCGACACCCTAGGACATGACACCGTTGCAACTACCTTTTCGCCAGACTTCACCGTACAAAGTAACTTTTGAAGATTGAAAGATTGAACAAAAGGAAGTGAACAAACTGTCAACCCATGTGTGCTCGCTAAGAGTACAGAGATCTTAGGATCCCTATCTTGCTCATGTTCAACAAAACACCAAGGAAATAACCCAAGACCATCTCCGGAAGCTTGAAGAGACACCAGCCCAGTTGCCGACTTTGACGAACTCTGGAAACGGCCAGAGTTAAGAAAGTCCAGTACTTGCAAACATATGTGATATATATATATATAGATATATACGGATATGTGTGTGACCTATATATGTGTGAACATACTATGTGTGTGTGTGTGCAATATATTTTGTGTGATCTACATAGAGAGAGAGAGAGAGACATATGTATGTCTACCTTTCTTCGAGGTCCAAGCATTCCTATGCAGCAGATGCAGCAGATGCAGCAGATGCCCCTAGATCCATGGCTCTCATGGATCCAAGCAGGGACTCAGGAATCTGTGCCTCGTGGCTTTGGCATGCATCCCCAGCATGGGTCATGACTTTGGGAGCTTGAGGCAAGAGGCAAACATCCGCAGTGTCTCACTTTGAACACCCTAGAGTCTAGAGGCAGTGGAAAAAAACGAACTCCCGGGCTCGGGAAAATTTTGGTAAATTTGGAAACCTGCGGGAGATTTGGTACAGGTGGACAACATTCGAATTCCGGGGCCATTGTGTGACACCTCCGGGTGCCAAGCAGCCCGTCGCCCAGCGCGCGGCGTTTGCCTCCGGGGCCCCGTGCTGGTCCCGCACGAAGCTCAGCACCGCGCCCGCGTCCTCGTTCTCGTTGTAGGGCTCTGGCCTCGCTCGGCGCCGAGCGCCGAGCGGCCGAGCGGCCCGGCTTGAGGTCCATGTAAAATATCCCCAAACAATCCGACCGTAGGCAAGATATGAAAAAAGTATACACAAATATGGGGTACAAACTCACACAATCCAACTGTAGGCAATATGTAATAATATATATAAGGTTAAAAGGGGCACGTACTGCTTGCTTGCTTGCTTGGGCTGCCATTTGAAGCTGGGCCGCCTTTTCACAGAGCATCGACATTGTCCCCCCCCCTTTCCCGGCTGTCCCCACACCCCCGCTCCAAATGATGAAACATCTGCCTAAGGCCAACTCTTCCATATCCCCCGCCCCAAACAAAACCTGCTTCTTTGCAGCATCTGCTGAACATAGGTGTCCTTTTAAGGGAAATAGATGGCCCTGGTAGATGATTAAACCACCAGGTAAACCAGGAATCGCCGTCTATTTTCGACCAAAACAACCAAAAAGGACACCTATGCTGCTGAACCCGATGTTCCCAGTCTCAAACACCCTCGATGCCACTCGCCCTACGAGTAGGAACCCTCCATTTGCTGAAGTCCCCTGGAAAAAAATATAATTCCAGTAGTGAAATCGATGTCCTTCAAAGCCATCAGGGGAAAATGGAAAAATATTCACCAAATGAAAACATTAAAAAACAAAAAATCCAGTAGTGAAATCGTTTTCCTTTAACGACAACAGGGGAAAATGGAAAAAAAGACAATCAGATCTTCACCAACTGGAAGGAACCTTCAAGGCTCGGGCACGAAGACCGGCTGCCAGGGCAACTCTCGGGTCACGTCCTGGCCTTCCCACCTCAGTCGATTGGACACGGTGCTTTGCGGGCCGAGGTCAGCCGCGTTCCAATGGCTGGGTGGGGCAAAATATATGGCTGTGGCTCAAAAAACCGGAATTCCAAAATGGGTTGCCCTGGTAAGTGGAAACATGGACCAAAACCTGCGCTTTGCCCCTCCTGTTTAATTTTGAGCCACCCCCACATGGTTTAAACACCAGCTTTACAAGGGAAGAATCATCATCACCAGTGGTTTAAACATGTTTAAACCAATGGGTGGCCCCACCCTATCCAATTGGTTTGGAGCCGAAGCGGTGCTTTGCTGGTGGTGGTTAAGTGGGAAATCCCATGTAGCCTCAAGAACCAGGGGTTCTTACGTCCGAATCCACACCAGCGATCTAAACGATGAATTAAGGGTACCTCATAGGAGCCTTTCAGATTAGGGGTGTATGTCAGCGGCCTAACAAAAACACCTTGGATCCCACAAGTGTCCGGCTCTCTGGCAGGCGGTGTTCTCACACTCTCGCTGCAAGAGATGGCTCCTTATGGTCTTCACTTCCACTCATATGTGTACAAGAGACCCGTCCTTAAATGGCTATTCCTTTTGAACCTGTGGGCTCACTGCGAAGTCTCTGGGCACCTAACAAGATCTCTTCTGGTGAATGGAGGGGCTAGATGTGTTTTGTTTGGTTTCCCTGTGAGCAAAGTAAGTTATGTCCAGCACCCAAACTGAGCGCGCAACTTCCAGACCTCTTGGGTGTTGTGGTCCTGCTTGGTCAGTCGCAGCCTGCAGCAAACGCGGGCAGTTCAGCCAGGGGAAAGAGGGATAGTCATGTGAGTCATGATCAAACCCCTCAACCCGGGTTTTGATTGTGGCTCATGTCTTCCGGTTGGATGTCGTCAAAATTGGAAGCGTTAAAAACATTGTCGCCTTTCATAATCCAAGTGTCAAGGTGCTGGCCAAAGGATCGCCGGAGGCCTGCCCGTTCTGAGGGTACTTTTTCTAGGTCCTCCAGATTTGAGAGGTTAGAACAAGGGTACCTTTTTTCTGTAGTCTATTTTAGTAGGGGAACCCTCTCAACCAAAAAAGGGGTAAAAGGGCACTACTGGGGGACCTAGGAGGGTAATTAGCCCTTTTAGGGGGTGGGGTTCAAAGGGCGGCGCCCCACGAAAATTTCATCGGCCACATGCAGCGCCCATCGGCCGAGAGGCATGCCGTTGTCGTCGATGACACCCCAGCTGAATTGGTGCTTCACGCCATCCACCTCACCGAGGACAGTTCGACCCGAGAAAACAGCATCCAAACACCCAATGGATTTCACCCAATAGACTCCCTAGATGCCCCCGGAAGACCATCCAAACATTGAACGAAGAGGGGACCCCTAGATGCCCCGGGAAGACAACCCAGGACATAGAGCACGTCTGGAGGGCATGCGCCGAGGAGACAGGTAGTTGCCCCAGAGCTCAATGTGTACTTCCATTCTGGTCTTCACTGGCAGTTCATGTGAGATGTGGTCTTTTTCGTATAAAAAGGGCATCCAGGTAGGTCCAACACGATTTCCACCCGGCAACCGCTTGGCGATGTTGCTCTGAGGGCAGTGATTTGGAGGTCGGAAATGCTGCAAAAGTTGCGGACACCAAGGCAATAGCCCTCCCAAAGATTCTTTGGTGCAGCTTCAGCTCGGTTTTGAAAGACTACTTCTCGGTCGGAACGGGCCCCTGCCCCAAGCCATGTTTGAAGGTCAGAAGATACCCTTTCTACAACAACCATGCAAGTGGACCGAGGGGTTACCCAAAAAGAAAAGTCATCTTCCTAGAAAATCCCATGAGTCCCAACAAATCCATACAAGGTGGGGTGGAGTGGGGGTGGAACGAGGCTGGGCTTGGGGCGGAGTTGAGGTTGGGTAGGGTTGGATTTGGGTGGAGTTGGAGAGGAATGAGGCGGGCTTCGAGTGGAGTTGAGGGTGGGGGAGGTGGAGATGGGTGGGTTTGCCAACACTTGCCCCATTTGGAAGGTGTTCTTTGTGAGTATTGCATAGATGGTTTTCGCGACTTTTGGAAGGAGGATACCCTATTCCCACCGAAATTCTCTGTGCTTTTCCCCTCCCTCTCTCCCATTCGGAGGGTAAATGCGAGTAAGTATTGAATTGTTTTTTGGGAATTGTTGGAAGGATCATACCCTATTCCCCAGCGAATTGTGTGTTTTCCCCTCTCTTTCCCCCTCTCAGCGAAGCCTTGGGGTTGATCTTGGGCTCATCGAAGCAGTTGTCCGGCCAGCCAGTCCATGAGCACTCGCCGGTCCTGAGTCTCGAGGGCCGCAACCACGAAGTCCTACAGAGAATCCTACGGACAATTTGAATTACGAGAAATCTACTTTATCACTCCTTTACAGAGAAATATCATACTATCACAGGAAGTGGCTGTGTAAAACCTGTATGCTCCACATGCCCTCAAGGCCGTTCGGAATCTGCAAATCAAACTTGACCCATTAACAAACCCGGTGGTTGATAATTTGGGCGCTTGCCAGTTAACTGGGCTGTCCCCAGATCCTCTGCTAAAAGTTTAACTTCTGCCGGACACCCAACCACCAAACCAACTAAAAACCAAAACACCTAAGAAAACGGACGGCTGGAAAACCGCGAAAAGACGGGCCTTTCACTTAAAAGAACACGCCCTTCACCGCAAAGTCGGTGGCGGGGAGGCGGGGTCTTTGTCCCGGATTGGTTTTCAAGTTCGAGCCACGACTCAAGAATCCCACATCCGGCTGTATGCCAGCAGTCGACCCATTTGGAGAGGGATGTGGGCATAGGTGTCCTTATGGAAACATAGCTGGCCCTATGGAATAAACCCCGTCTAAGCCGCCGTCTATTCCTAGCCACACGAACCTACAAACCTGCGCATGGAAGGGCGCCAACTTCGAAGAACGTGGTCCGGTTCGTTTGCGCCGTAGGCCCCCAGACTTGAGGTTCATCGCGAACCGCCGCACCTGCCGCAAGGGGAGCTTGCGCCCATGCGCTTGGCCGAGGATCCGCCGAGCTTTTGGGTTTTTTTTGAGCGCACGGACGAAACTCTTCGGGAGCTGGGCAAGAGCGGCGATCGCAGCCTCCTGTTGAGTGCTGCCCAAGTCTTCCCGACGGGAAACCCATCCCCGAGAATCCAAACATCAACTGAAGCGAGAGAGAGCGACAGAGAGCTGAGAAGGAGGGCAGGACATCCTCACACCTCGAACGACCCCCCAAAGACATAAAGGTCCCCATAAAGGTTCTCAGAACTCTTCGATCAGAACGCTTCGATCAGAAGGGACCTTTGGATTCCAAGAAGCGGATCCAGTGATTCCATTTCCCTGGTACCAAGGGAATCACCCTTTAAACGCCAAAATGGCTGGTTATCATAGTGGCAACTGGAATGCACTGGAGGAGTTAACCTGACTTTTTTTCTGGGGAATCACGTCTTTTTTGGATTTGCAAGAGATTGCCACCAAGAAGAAACTTTTGGGCGGCTCTTTTATTAATATTTGGGCATGACCCGCACTTGCCTTTCAACACGGGGGGTGAAGTCTGACAAATTCCCGGTTCAAGGCCCCCAAACAGCAACCAACTTGGAAAGTTGCAACTTGTAACAAGCTGATACAAGCTGCGGCTGCCAAAGGAAAGCGAGTGAAGGCTTTGTGAGAATCGTACAGCAAGCGGCAGTCGACCAGTCTTCTTCGAAATATTCAATGAGAATGCCAACAAAAACTACTGATCCATGTCTAGTTCTGCCCTGGCAAGAACAAACTGACCACTGCCAGGTCCTCCAGTAGAGAGGTTTCTGTAGTCTACTGTAGTAGGGGAACCCTCCCCCCAAAAAAGAAACGATAAAAGGGCACTACTGGGGGACCTGGAAACTGACCATTGACCACCTCACCATTTCGGAGAGAAAACACATGTTGCTTCCATTTGCTTAAGCCTCCCAGAAAAAAAAAACAAGTAGACATAAGTAGTGATGGATTCCCGTTTAAACCAACAGGAGAAGTTCGAGCCCCCTGGAAAAAAGGAAAACACAAAACAACATACTTCCAGTAGTGGTAAATTCCCAAAAACCAACAGGGGAAAAAAGATGAAAACAACGACATTCTTAAGAAAATGGAAGATTTGGGCGGAACACCGCGCTCCGACTCCGGAGCTCGCCTCACCGCCGCCGCCTCGCCAGTCCTCAACATCGCCGGAGCGGGCCTGCGGCGCAGGCAGGGCGGATCGGCGGATCGGCCGGTGGTCTCCTTGGCAGCGCCACGGGCGAGGTCCATCGGTCCATCAGCAGTTTTAGGGTTCCGCCCCAAGAATGGCTTTAGGACCCAATTTGGAGGACAATCCAAGAAGAGTGGAAAAAAATGAACCCCCATTCTTTAAATGGTTGTTTGAACCCCAGGGGAAGGTTGCGACATCCAGAAATCGCACCACGAAAGGAGACCATGGTTGAAACCAGTGTTTGTTGGGATTTAGAGAGGAATCATCACACACCAGGGTTTCTTAGGTGCTGCAGGATTTCGTCCATCCACAGTGGGTTTCACCATTTGGCTGTGGCTCAATAAGATGTACCCAAATGGCAGCTGGGTCAATGGAACCTAAGACAAGAACCTGCGTAACGCTAGCTCTTTAATTTTGAAGCCACGCCCATTTGTGTCTCCAGAAGGGTCTAGGGGGCGATAAGGTCACACCAAAAACCAGCCATGTCGTGCCAAACAAGGGTACATTGGTATTGAGTCCTTTGGCGTTCACTTTTTCCAGCCACAAAACAAATGTAAAAATATATCCCATCTTCAATGTTCTTTGACGTGCCATTTGACGATTTCTATGGGGGGTGAGAAGCTGGGGTCATGGCTTAAAATAGCATAGTGGGGCCTGTTTTGGTGGTCTCTCGTTGTCAGGGCCCTGAAAAATTGGACCTCCGAAAGTCCGGGCCCTATTCAGGGATCCTTACAATGGATCCACCTGAACATTGCAACTTGTACATGGTGGTTTCCCTTTTTGGTGTTGAAAAAGCCATGCTTCAAATGTGCAAAATGTATCTTTTAAGGAGCCCTGCTATTTTCTACGGAGAAACCCCCTTCTTTTGGCAGAGAAACCCGTATATTTTGTGCAGAAAAACCCCCCCCCCTTTCTTCTTGGGGAAACCCTGGTTCAAAGCCTAAACAAGGGCCCAAGCTAGGCACTTTCACCAGAGCTCCCGCCGGGCCCCGCCTGTCGCAAGGGGAAGCCCACAGGCCTTGGATGCCATAGCACGGGCAAACAGCATGAAACCTTCATCGTCCCCGGAATCTGTGGTTTGATTTGGTGCTTTGCTGGCTCTTTCAAAATCCCAAACCATGAATCCAACAACTAGAGTGTGGCTTGATTTGGTGGTTTGGTGGTTAAACATTTCAACCCGCCAATCCAAAACGAGAGCCTTTGGGTTTCGTAGACAGGAGGGTATCTCTTTGACCCTTGGATCAGGCCATGGAAAAACCTAACGGCTATCCTTGGAGCGACGGGCCGAAAACGTCCCCGCAAGATCCCAGCAGGACTTTTTCATCGTCTTTACGACCCACTCTTGAATTAGAAGACACATCGCTGGGTATCCATGAATCAAGGGCCTTGGATTGCCAGCTTAGCCAATGACCACAAGGTTGAGGGAGGGGTCGTGATTGCTCACTCGTTCGCTTTCTTGCTTGGCTGCCGGGTGGTGGAAACAACATCCCAATCCAGCGAAAAAGAAGCCCAGAAAAAATATAGCACCCTAGATGACTTGCTTGCGCTCAGCAGGGAATGAAGGATTGACCCCTACAAACAATCCCTTGTAGTTTCCCGAAAAGGCAATCCCCTTCCGGTTCATTCCCAACCCCCGGCTTGGGTCCTTCCTTACCCATCGCACCAGCAAGATGACTGGTCAAAGGTGGCAAGTACAGGCCCAGATCGCGGCTCTTATGAAAGGCTGGCCAATCCAAGCCCACCTGGGAAGCGACAAAGGGCACCCTGGCACTATAAGACTCATATAACATGCGCACCAACTGCCACTAACCGAAAGAAGACCATATATGGTGACAAATGTCATATGAGTAGACCCAGCATGCAGCCACCAACAAAAAGAACACCAACTTTTGATGATTACAAAAGCGACAGGTGTCATAGGAGAGGTTTATATAACTCATGGCTTCGGGGCTGATTTATCCCAGATTATTTTCTCCAGAACTGTCGGCGAACTAACCCAGAAACTAGCGGTTCACACACGGGGGGACACATATATACATGGCTGGTTGTCAAAATGTTGGCTCCCAGCTTTGTAGCGTAAATCGCCATTCCATGGGGGGCCGTATCATTCGGGCCATATGAACACGTAACCATTGCGGCACAATAGGTTTGGCTAGGAAAAGTACAAATAGCTGACAGGCGCGCTAGCACGGGCCTGTTCTTAGCTGCTGTCGGATGAGCTATCCGAGCTTGTAGAGCTGCTGCTATAGGATATTGTGACACACAAGAAATCCCAATGTTCTACGCCACATTTTCAGCAAGTAACAAAACGAAATTGGTTCGCACTATGTTTTCGGATTTTCGCAGGGTCACGTGGTCTGGTACAGATTTCGTGACAGGCGCAATGCTTTCGGGAGGAAGGCACGGCCGGCGCAGCAACACGTGCAGATTTCGTGGCAGACGCAGTACTTTCGCAAGATCAAGTACAAATATCGTGGCAGACGCAGTACTTTCGCAAGGCCGGTCAGGTACAGATATCGTGGCAGGCGCGCAGCGCTTTCGCAAGGTCCAGTGAAATAGTACTTCGTCTCCACTCTCCACATGGGTGAGACAGTGAGCAAGGAATGCCTCGAGCCCTGAGAGCGACCGGACAGAGGGGCCGTGCGTGCGCATCTCACATGCCACGTCAACTAACGTCCCCGACCTAGCGCCGAGCTAGCGCGAAGCTAGCGCTGCAGGATTTAAGTGGGGGCCCGCTTTATTTCGAAAAGGAAAAAACAACATCAGCAGGAATTATGCACATACTGTATATAGCTCCTTAGCCGGCCTTTTTGAACGGAAGCCGACATACATTCAGCCTTTGAATGGGAGCAAAAAACAAAACAACCCGATTATGCAGCTAGGGTTGGAATTCTTGCGCACATCATGAACGTTCCGATCCATTGCTCCAATTCGCGGGCACAGCTGCAACCAACAAATGCAACCATGGGGCAGCTCCGGACTATCAATCAAAGGGTTTGCGTTCTGCACGATGTTCAAGGGCCGGAGAGAAACAAACAAACCCAGAAAAAAAGAAGAAGAAGAAAAAAGCCTAAAGGAAGCTCACCCTGAGGTTGTATGTCATCATCATTTTGTTGTTAAACAAACAATACAAAGATCAGTTCTTCTTCTTCTGAGTGCCCTTGTTGGTTGCCAAACTCACTTTTGCACATGGCCCCAAGCGGTATGCTAAAAGCTCTGAAGGGCAATCTAGGAAGCTCTGTGTTGCTTGTCTAAACGTTTGCCTCTGGAGCAACCCTGAAAGAAGGGCAGCACAAATCAGAAGCGGCGTCCGGAAAATCACGCCGTCTCCCTTTTGGTTTAGGGGAATCGACAATAGTATGCACAAGTATCTTAGCAATTCCCCAAAACAGGGATTTTTTTTGAGGTCGCTCATTTGCCAAACGAATGGTGTGATTTTACAATCAAGGTTGAAGCTCCCCACACGTTGGACACTTTTTCAAACTCGTACACCTCCCGAGCGCTTGCGCGCTCACCCCGGTGTTGGGGGCTGTGGCGGCTCGTTGTAGCACACCACGTCCAGGTACACGATCTCGCCTTCCTGACGGGAATCACTCCATACGCAAGGGAAGAATACCCAGATAATCCATGTAGGTAAAAAACAACAAACAACATTTGACCCATTTGGAGGGTAAATGTAAGCAAACATTGCAAGTGCAAAATGGGAGCGGAGCCCAATAGCATCTGCGAGGAAATTGTGCCCCGAGTGTGCTGCAAAAGACTGCTGGTCATGTTGTGTGCTCATACCGAGAGGTTCGCTTATTAGTGCTTTTCACAGGTCCAAGTTCAAACGACTGCCAAGGCCAAGTCTTGGACAAATGACAAGGTTGTCCTAGAGGGCAACACATGAAATCTGGGATGCTACACACACACACACGATTCTCCTTTGGTGCAAGCTGAAACTCGTTTATGCGAACCCGTATGGGGCTTGGGAAAGGAGGAAGCAGATGGAGGCGGGGTTTTTTGAGGTCCCCCTTTTTGTTTTGGGGGTTTAACCAGAAGAAAACCACCATTTGAGGGGGGTCAAACAAAAGATCGAAGCCATCAGGGCTCTGGACCCCGGCCTCGAAGGAGTTGATGATGTGGAAGAAGAAGAACCTCACGTGTCATTCGGTGAGCCGGTCCACCTGCCTTTGGAGCAATCTCTACAACCCTTGAAGTCTCTCTCTGCAAGCAACTTCGCGAGCGATTGCTATAGATTGCCGACCAAGCAAGAGAACCACCTGCCGATAATAATTCATAATAACAGTAACAATGTCAATAACAATAACAAACACAATGATTCACTATAAGTAACTTAACATTAATAACAATAACGATAATAATAAAAGCACTGTTATGCGGTTGAATATTTCACCCGCAATTCCAGGCAACATGCATGCTCAAGTTCCGCCCAGTGAGGATGACTCAAGCAACACCAGCGCAGGCACTCACCATGCGCAAGCCGGTCAAAGCACCTTTTTTTCAACTTGGGCTGCGCGTCCATGCGATCCGGACTCAGGACTGCTCTCCTCATCCTCTGCGGGGTACTTTCAAATTATTGTTTTTTTTTAGGGAAACCACTAGGAAAAGGGTCATTTTGGGAGGTCCCCCTGAAAAACAACACAGACCCGGATGAAAGCTCAACTGTTGCTTCTTCCCTTAGAAGTATATAGTCTTCTCAATGGTCCCAACAAACAAAACAGGTTCGATTTGAAACTTAAAGCGCCAAGACTCCTCTGAAGCCCGTCTAACAACCGCTGGCTAGCTAAACTATCACTCAACAGGACCTAGAAGTCACATCGTATCTTGCATTTGCTTGACGTGACAGTAACAAACATGTTTGCCAGTCATGAGCATGTCCCTTTGAAGCCAACAGGGAAGAGAACATGTGCATGTCAACTACTAGTCACAATGTGTGGGGTATAGATCCATTCCCCCGCGGGGTATTGGTTTGGGAGCGGAACTCGAGAGGAAACCTCTGACCTCGCGGGCAGGATGGTCTCTCCTGATCCTCTCAGCTTTCAGGACGGTCGTGGAACCTGGTTCGACCGGTCGAGCTTGGCCGGAAACAAATGACTCCTCAAATCTTGCTGGCGCGATAGGAATGAACCCAGGCTTTGGTCCCCGTAAAGGAAACCAGCAGTTGGATGGCTTATAGGGGTCATTCCCTCATTCCCTACTGTGGATGGACGAAATCCTGCACCATTTGGAAACCATGGGAAACCATTTTCAATTGGTGTTTACAGGGGATGCATCATTCCAGGGTTTCTTAGGTGGCGCTAAATGGATTTCGTCCATCCACTGAGCACCAGCAAGAAATCAAGATGAGTTGCCCCACAAGGGGGTCCGCAAAAGCCCCGAAAGGAGCCTCTCCTCTAATGCAGCTGCTTCTTTGGGGTCCTTCCACACTCCGGAGTCACACTCCGGAGTGGTCAAACTATTGCTTAAACTAGGCCCTCCAGTAGAGAGGATAGAATAAGGGTACCCTTTTTTCTGTAGTCTTTTTTAGTAGGGGAACCCTCCCCACCAAAAAGAAACGGTGAGAAAGGGCACCTAGCTGGGGGACCTAGTAAAGGTGCAGAGTGCCCAGTCGTGAGCTTGAAAAAATATTGTTACGCCTTCTCCGTCAAGCTGCAGCGGGGTAGTGGCGTTTTGGGCCATGGCCCGGGACGTAAACGAAAACACCTGCAGTACCTGTTGTTTGTGAGGGATGCTGACAAAAAAACAAATAGGCCATAGGTGAGTTTCCCTTGTGTGGGGAGGGGATGGTGACGGTCATGTTGTTCGGTTGGAAATATTGGGAACCCTGACCTGCCAACAAAAGTGTTTTAAGTTTGCCAACTCACTAAGACATCTCAGAGCAAACTCCTCGCACAGCAACCGAAACTTGTGATGTCTGAAACGTGAAGCCCGGCCCCACCAGCATTGGTGAATATTTCTAAAAAATGTTTGTAGATCAACCAACACTAAATAGGTTTTTCCAAACAGGAAGGGTGGGTAAATGGTTGAAACGTGCTCAACTTATCTGACTCGGTCCAGTCCCAACTCAAGTCTGTGCCAATTCTCCGAGGTGGATCACAACTCACACCCTGAGTGGATGACCCAATCAAAGTCCAAACTTGTTGTTTACCACTCAAATCTGGCTGTCCTCAGATCTTCTGCAAACAGTTTAACTTTTAGAGGGTTAGATAGATACCGCCCACCAAACCAGCTAAAATCTAGACACCTGCAAGGGGCTAGCTGGGATCCACCAAGACATGGCTTTCCCGAAAGTATCACGTCCAGAACCTCGGGGGACTGAGACAACCTGTGCACCCCAACGGACATTCAGCACACGGCTTCATGCCGAGGCTCGATCGACGCCTCGGGCGAGGCACGGTGCGGGCGCGAGGAATCCGGCTGCGTCGCCTGCCGGAACACCAACCATGAACGAAAACCCCGCGCTTGGTAAAATACCAGTATAGGCGAGAAAAACAAAAAAACTTAGCTTTTTTTCAGTGGGTGGTTTGGAGGTTAGGGATGACTTCCTATGTGCCCCTCTCTAAGAAGCAGGGGTTCAAATTTCCAAACCACCAACTAAGGGTCACCTGAAACACTAGCCGCCGGAAAACTGATTCTTAGCGGCCAATAAAGCGCTCTGAAGACTCTTCTCTCCTCAATCGTAAGCTGAGACCTCAGGTACGTGTCGACAGCTACATGCCGCGGCTGCTGTCATTGGTTGTAGTTGGCGTGCTGTACAGGTAATTTCTGCTCGCGCTGCTAATGAACATCTCAGAAGCCCCAGGAACTTTGTGCAACCGGGCTAAACAAATCCTACATGATGAGATCTCGCGGGATTACCAAGTTGCACGATCAACCAGAAGCTAAAGGCTCACTTGATCGCAACGCCTCTTAAAAGGCATGTACAAAAGGGATGCAAGTCTCAAGCTCTCTGAGAAGAACAAACACTTTTCAATTAAGGTCCCCGTGCTCGGCATCAACAGCTAGGTAAAACACACAAGACCTTGGCATTGGCTATCTCCCTGCACAACAAAACACTCGCAACATAGGTCATTGTCGGTGTGGTGGTGTTGAAGCATTATGACTTATGAGCTTGACGAGCACTTAGCATGCCCCGGTAGCCGGTATGACCGTGCAAGTGGCGCGCAAGGAACCTTCTTTGGCCCGTCAATACAAAGGGCTCGTGGTGTGCATGACTTTGACATAAGCATGAGCTGAAACACATCATTTAGAGGTCATCTAACATTTGGACGAGCCGTCAGCTTCAACATCAGGGGCAAAGAAGTGCGGATCCTTGCAGCCGTAAACAGTCGCAGGCCAAGTACTATACTTAGGCTTCCAGGCAAAATGCCTGGCTACTAAACATATTGGCCTGATTCCAAATTCTGATCTTGTATGTTTCCTCAGACAATCAGTAGATCGACGCATCGATGACTGCGAAGAGGCGGTCAACCTCGTGTGCATCGTCATCATGTGCCTCGGAAGGGTCGTCGGAGACACTGGAGTTGTCGTCACCGGAGTCAAAGCCAGTGGAGTCGTAGTCACCGGAGTTATATCGAGTTGAGTCGTAGTCACCGGAGTCATAGCCAGAGTCGTAGTCACCGGAGGTACAGTCACTGGGCGAGTCATCCGCGTCATCACTGGAGTCTGGGTCCCGTGCTCTCAGCACATCACCCCAGGCCGCAAAGCTGGTCTCGATGAAGCTTCGCAGATCCCAGCCGGCTCCGGTCGCACTTCGGAGGGTGAGGCTTTCGATGATGGCGTGCCCGTTGCCACGCACCAGCTTCGCGCCCGAGGACATTACCAGCTGGTCCCTGGCTGGAAGATGCCGCTGACCGAGCTCAAGCAGCACCTTGCAGACTTGACACTGGGAGTCGGCTGGCAGTCCATGCTGGGGGCAAAAGCACTGGCGTGCTTGGCCGCGGCCATGATCTGGGATGCTGTCAATCATGGCCTGCACCAGCCCTGTCACAGAGGTAACACGAGTGGCTTGCTCAATCACGGCCATGCGGTGGTTCCAGGTGATGAGGGCACTGCGCTGGTTGCATGTGCACTGCATGTTTATGACCTCCACCTTCGACAGGAAGCTCAGGATGTTAAGTGGAACACTGCAGTTGGACATAGGCCGATTTGGTTCGGCGGTCCACAAGGTGCATTGCCCGACCCTCTGAAGCCAAAGACTCGCAAGCCAGCAGTGCACATGCCCATGAGTCAACGTGCCAATGCTGTCTTCTCCCAATCTCTGGCATGAAAACATGAAACGGCTTCAGCGCTTGGATTTGGAGGAGCATACATCAAGGGTGAATGCACTCAAGACCCAGTGCCCAGACGGCTACATGGATGTTCCCATGCTACCTGCTTGGGGCTCCTTGCGCGGGCCCGAGACTTTCATTTGGGACCCCTTTGGGCCCATAATATGGGAAGCCCAAAGGAAATGTGGGCCGTGGTCAGTTCTTCTTGGTAGGGACCCTTAGATGGTTCTCTAAGGCCCCTACAAACGAATGTTGACCCTGTTTTGCGAGGTAGTCTGATCAATATCCACAACACAAACCAGCTTCAGCTGACTTCTCCGCACCTCGCCAGGACGATCTTCGCAATGCATTTCGCCGACCAGCACTTGGATAGGGCTGCGTGCGGCAGGGCGTCCTTTCGGCCACACAAGACACCAAGATGGTCAGGGCTTGAGTGAGAAACCAAGATGCTCAGAAAGGCTTCAGGCGACGATTCTCCGAAGCCAAGACTTGAAGCCCTGGGTGGTGCCAAAGAAATGAAGACTCCAGTAATCCATCAGGACCCACACTGGAAGTGTGTCTTTCTCTTCGGTTTACAGTGCCCTGCAAAAGTTTTGAAAGTTGGCTTGCAGCTAGCCGCATGAGTTGAAAGTATCCTCTCCCAAGAATACACGTCTGTAAAGCCCGCCTTCTGAGTAGATTGACTGAATCGAACAAAGTCGGCTGATTGTTTTTGCTTCATGGATACCAGTTCCCCACAGAAAAACCGGCGAACTGCCAAGGGGAAACGGTCCACAAGGCCGGGCCTCGCCGAACTTCTGACGTGAGGAGAACGGCCGCGGGCATCATCTCAGGGCTCAGCCCAGAGCCATTCCCTCAGGGCACATCTGCCAGAATTAGGGACGCTTGGTGGGCTTCACTACTGTGGATGGTTGCGAAATTCTGCACCACCGCTCAGAAACCCTGGAATGAGGCGAATTCCTTGTAAATACCAACAAATACTGGTTTCACATGGTTTCAAAGTGGTGCAGCATTTCTCCACAGTATGTTCAAAGGGGAACCACCAAACACTGAACGGGTAAAGAGTGCCTTGCGTGGTTCATCCACGAATCCCTTGGTCGCAGCCAATGGGTCCGCTTGGTGTTTAACCTGTTTCACAAATATGAACCACATGACCGTGGCTCAAAAACCCGGTACCAAAATGGAACCCTTGTAAGTGGAAACATGGACCAAAACCTGCGGTTTGCCCCTCCTGTGTAATTTTGAGCCACACATGTTCAAAGCTCTGCACCTCATTTTGGTTCCTCTTGAAGGCGGCCCTCATGACTCAGAGCTGGGCCCAACTTACACCTGCTGGCTCAAAGCCAGCAAGGCGAACCAAAAAGGCAAATTGCAACAGCCAAGCAACGGCTGGCAATGAAAACGGGTTCCACTGGCACAACACTTCAGAACAACTTCCTTCTGCCTGTTCAAAATATCTTAAAACGCACTATGAAGAAGAGAAACCAACAGGAAGTCAACCATCTTTAGTACCATCTCAAAGGGAAACAAACAGGAAGTCAACACCATCTTTAGCACTCTCGCGAAGGGACACTGAAAGAAAGTCTACCATGTTTAGCACCATCTCAAAGGGACACCACAAGGAAGTCAACCAGCGCTAGCACCATCTAAAATAGACTCCAAAAGGATGTTAAGGGAAACAAAAAAAAAGTCCACCCCCATTTTCAGAACCCCCCCACCAACTTCTGAGACCCCGCCTGCCGCATCGCGCGGTCGCATGCGCTAAGCGCGGCGTTGAAGCTGGTCTCGTTCGGGCAAAGGCGCAGCTCCACGATCTGCTGCAGGACGCTCCTCGGACAGCCCACTTGGATCTTCGATTCGCAGGGGGGGGGCGGGTATTGGGGGGACGGCTTATGATTCAGGGGAGAGGATTAGAGACCCTCAACCAAGGATATCTCTGACTTTCTAGCATATGATTCGCCGAGTTAAGTGCTGAGCCAAATGAGCATAGCTGGCCTTTTGGAGAAATAGATGGGTTCCTGAAAGCTGGTCTTTGAAGAGCGCCCAAAACTACTTTTGGCGGCAACCCACCCAGGTCCTCCAGGTTTGAGAGGCTAGAATAAGTTGGTACCAAACAAAAGATGTAGTCTACTTTAGTAGGGGAACCCTCCCAACCGAAAAAGGGGAGAGAAGGGCACTGCTGGGGGACCTAGTTTTGGAGAAATAGATGGGTTCCCCTGGTAAATGCAACGAAACCCATCTACTTCAGTGCCATCCATGTTTAAACAAACTCACCAAAAAAGGACACCTAAGAAAGGGAGATACAACCCACTACTGACTGGGTTACCACTTAAGGAGTGGATTATAACCTGGGTTGGCAACAACTTGCTGACATGGGCGAACACTCCAGCAGTGACTTGTCAAGGCTTAGAGACCAGCGAACAAGGAATTTGTAGAGGAAATTGGAAGCTAAACAACCAGCACAAGCAATGGCGCGCAAAGCTTTAAGCCTTGTGGGTTTCGTGGCTTAAAATATGTATTTCAAGAGTTCAAGGTTAAAGATCCATTCAACATAGCAGCAACATCTAGGCGTTAATTCATAGGGTCTTGTTGACAGGCTTCCTCGTAATCAAGGATGACTTAATTTCTAAGAGACGAGGCAACTGACAGTGACGACATCCTTTCACCGCTCATGCTGGACAGAACATCCCAGTCAAGGAATGTTGCTTCCTTGTAATATTTCCGTCGCCAACAGCCAAAGTGTCAAGGCTGGTGAAGGAAAGTGAAGGATGGTAAAACCACTCACCCACTACATTAACCCGCTGCAACGACAATATGATGGAGGCCTGCAGGACATTTGTCAGACACCCACCGAAGAAAAAAAAAAGATCTCCTGCATCGTAGATGTTCCTGTAGCTGGCTTCTCAGTTTGATTCCTTCTTGGATAGCGGGGTTCAATGCTAGTGGCATCCGAATGAATCTGCGTCAGAGTAGGGACTTCTTCTGGGCCCATGCTGATGGGAAACAAACGAAAGCCACCAAACCAAATGGATGTAAACGGCGCCACTGAACAACTTGCGTGCCCGGGCAATTTCCTGTCCTACAACATTGGTAGTATGTGTAGTTTTAAAGTACCCAGAACCCCATTCGAATTATCTGGGTAATAGAAACATTGGACCCCAATGGTTGTTTCCCTTTTGGCCCTTTAAAGCAACCTTTGACCTCAAAAAAGCACACACCGGTGGACAAATGTCTTATCCTCTTCTGGTTCTCCTCGCCCCAAAACAAAAACATAAAGAAAGCAAGAAACAACAGCAAAAGGGGACACCTCCTATGAATCAACCAGGGGCTCATTGATCCGAGGTGTCCATTTACATAGCCCCTTCCACGATGGGTTCGACACCGAGGCGCAGTGCGGGCTGCCACCGCGCCGCCTTCTCACAAGCACTGATGGCCGCATTGCAGGCGATCAGGTCCGGGAAAACCTGTGCGCCAACCACTCCCTATCCCAATCCGACTACCCTCCCACCGACTGACATGGTTTGGTGCCCGGATTTCTGTACAAAGACTACCCTTCCTCTTGGAAAGAGTGGGTTTGCACTTCCATGTTGGTTGTAGGAGGGTAGGTAACATATACCAAAAGAAGCGCATGAATCACCAGCAAACCACTTGGAGGGTAATATTGCGTACATGGAGTGATTGGGCTATACCCTGCCAAACGGAAGCTCATTTCAAATTGGGCCAACAAGTCATGTTTAAAATCATCATCTCCGGCGTGCTACCCCAAAAGGGGAAATGTAGGGAACCCTGCCAAAGCGCCCCAGAGGGCAGCCACATACATTTGGCACTGGCAACCTATTGGCTTTTGGGATTAGCTCAACGGTGGAAAGCAAAACCCTGGAATCAAGTTTGGGTTGCTCCAAAGACCCCTAGCTTTCATTTGCTTCTTCGCACCCTGCAAAAAAACATACTTCCAGTACTAAAATCGATTCCCTTCAAAACCAACAGGGGAAGATAACAAATATGATTAAGCAATGAAGCTAGAAAGAAATGGTAGAAACTTGGGCGCCAAAGAAGGGAATCCAAGCTTCACCCCGGCACGTGTTCGGATTGACCAAACGCTCCCACCTGCTGCTGCAACATATCCCCCAGGAAGTGTATGGCAAGCCTGAGTGCAATGTCATGGAGAGCCCCCAGCAGGATACTGGAATGTGCGAAACCTGCTAATTAATGTAGGTTATCATTATGCTTATTTTGGTTACTTGGACGATCTGGAGACCAGGGTTATGCGGGCTACTTGGGGGATCTTGGATGCTCCACCAATATCTTAATTCTGACCATGGTTACTCAACCCCCCTTTTGAGTCGGTGTAGGGGAGATTTCAAAGACGCCACCATATTTAAGGCCTTTGAGTCTTGGTGACACCCACTACTTTGGAATGCAATGTGTTAACCCACCTTTTGGACTTATGACACATCATAAGCTTCTGCGCTTATTGAAAATCTGTTTTTTTTGAAGTAAGACTTGCTAGCACTCTGGCCAATCCCCCGATCCCGAAAAGATTGCTATGAAGAGTTCCATTTCCCCGAAACCGCTACCTTCAAAGGAAACGGGCTCTGCCCGATGGAAAAACCAATGTTTTTGTTTGTTCATATATTTGCGGCAGGGTCACAATCCCCGCGGGCCCACAGGGAACAGTTGAACTTATTGAAATATCATCTATGCCACACACACAACCAAATGAGTTAGCATGATGAAAAGTCATTTGCCGTATCAATATGGGCCTCACGTCATGTATACAGAGGGCAACATTGTGTAACCCACAAATTTCAACCAGAACACGTGTGTAATTCACTTCGCGGTGTGCACAGCATCGTAATAAGGTGAAGGTTGCCTCGGCAAAAGAGCGCAAAAGGAGCTTGAGCTGTCAGTGTTTGATCCAGGCACGCGAGCCAGCGTGATACTCAAACTGTGCGGTTTTCACTTTTGACATGAATTGTTAGGCTAACGTCACCGTAGGTTGTGGACTTAGATGCATTTTGAGGGATCGATCCCATGTTACGTTTCACGTGAGTTTGCGGGAGATACAAGGACAAACACAGGTTACTAAGGAGTGTAGACTGTGCTGTAACTACAAACATCCCTTGTGTGAGCTAGATTCAAAGTGAGCAGCCATCCCCAATCTTGTCTCCGTTTCGGTGCCATCGTGCTCCTTGCCTTTTTGGACTCGAGAGAATGGTGCACGCATGTTGTCCGATCGTGGTGTTCGTTGGGACAACGCTGTTCTAGGGGCAACTTCCCCATTCTTTCCAGGGATCCTTCTTTCTAGAAAACCACCAAAGAATGGGGAATCAACCCCTGAACTTTAAGCTGGACTTGATGCACTTATAGCATCCAAAACAAATATCACCCCTCCTTGTTACGATTGTACAAGCAGGTCGAACATGCAAAATGGTCCTGGTCGTAACTTACGTAAGTTCAACATCCAAGTAATCCTTACCCCTCGGCTATACCCAATCCATTTTTTCCAATGAGTCAGTTCTGTTGGTATACATTACCTACACTCGGATTGTCTGGGATAGGGGCCATGATTTGTGCTGGCACCTTTTTTCGTGGTGGTTATAATGGGAAACCCACCTATTTTCTGGGCACGGCAAAAAAAAGAACCCCCCCCCGAGCTCCAGTGGGTTCTTTTTCCCCCATTGGCCCTACAAACCAACTGGGGCTTCGGGCTGCCACTGCTCCCCCTTCTCGCAGGCGGTGATGAGGCCCCCCCACGCCACCAGGCCGCGTTTGCCCTCGCCATCCGCGCCGTTGGCGGCGAGGGCTGCGGCGAAAGCCAAGGCGCTCCGCCACTGGGAGCCTGCGGACTGGTGGGGAAGGCTTCGGGAAGGCCTACTGAACCGAACCAAACGGCAATTTGACATGTGTTTTGTGGGAAGAAATGAATTTACCAGTTTTGGTTGACCAGCGTGTTTCTTTGTTTCTTACGAGACTGCACATTTTTACAATTGTGTTTTGGGAATGCCCGATGTGACCTGTGCTTTGCCTGGAGCAAAAGAAAACATGGTTGGCTGTAGGTGTCCCATTTCAGAGGCATGGGATGCGGATCGGAACAGCAAACTGGGAAGGTGGACAAGGCCTAAGGAACGCGTCGGGGAGGGGCATGATCCTCCTCTTAAAACCGTCCAATCCAACCGGTCCCAATCTTAGGTCCCCCTAAAAGTTAGGCTGACGAGGCAACGCAAGGACCAATATGACAGGCAAACCATTGCCTTCCAAAGCCATCTGCAGCCCGCAGCTTTGCTCCTTCCAGGATCTATGATACGTGATATGTTGCATGTCGAACATCACCTCGCCGAAAGGCAAGTCTGTCCGATGCAAACAGGGAAGCATGAGAACTCCGGTGAAACGGGGCTGCCAGGCACCTGTTTGGGCTCAATCATGCCCAATGACAACCTTTGATTGGTGGCTTACTTGGTTGCTTTACTTGCTTGATTCCGAATGAGCTGTTTGTGTCGCTTGGTAGCTATGCACATACCTCGCCAGCCCAAAGGACCTCGGCATTGAAGCTTCGGGACCTTGACTAGACATGAAAGGTTGACATTTCGACTTCTGACAACAAGGGAACCTAAAACCATCCCAGTTGCCACCATAGTAGGCAACAAAATATATAATCCTTTTGGTGTCTGAAAGCTTGTTTCCTACATGGACCTACTAAGCAAATAAATCGAAGCACTTGCCTTCGGAGCAGGCGCGCATGGCGGAAGCAAGGCGCAGGTCGCTGAGTCCGTGCGCGTGTGTGCGCAGGAGCTCCAAAGCGATCTCCCACTCCTAGGCTTCTGTGCAACCCACACAATCCATGCTCATGGGGGCTTGGGGGGAGGGAAGGAGGGAGGGAGGGGGAGGCAGCCCACATAAGGCCTATTAGGGGCTTAATAAGGGCTTATTTGGGCTCCTTCCCCCCTCCCCTCCCTCCCCCCCAACCCCCTGACATGCAGGCATTTGACCCGTTTGGAGTGTGAATGTGGGTACTGGGCAAGGGGCGAATTGATTCGAATGGGGGGTTGGGGGCAGCAGAAAACTAACATTAGTAAAAACAGTCCTCACCCATGACTCATGACCATGGGACAAAACATGTTTGTGATTTTTGAGGTTGACTACTCCTAGGTACTTAGTGTTTGCAAAACATGTGCTAAAAGATTGACTTTAGTGAGATCTGCGGTATATGCCTCCAAGCACAAAAAAGCAAAAGGTCCAACGGTATGGCTGAGGACTGCCAAGAGTAAACACTGATTTATGGCTTGAAACTGAAAAGAATGGCCTTCCAACTGGATTTACCAGTCGTCCTACCCCCATGATGTGACGGATTGTTAAAGCGAAGTGCTGGCTTGAACAATCCGAGTGTAGGTGCTATACACCCACATTTGACCCATTTGGAGGGTAAATGTGGGAATGTTGCATACATGCATTTTTTTGGAGAGTAGGAGCTGCCAACAATGTGCTTGGGATCCGCATCCCCATTTCCCTCAAACACCCAATTCTTGGGAGCTTGTTCGCCGCCCCAAAAAAGGATTCAGGCCCAAAAAAGGGTCTCAAGCAAAGACAGCCCCATTTAGCGAGTCTGAACATACCACCTAGGTCCTCCAGCAGAGAGGTTAGAATAAGGGTACCCTTTCTTCTGTAGCCTATTTTAGTAGGGGAACCCTCCCAACCAAAAAAGGGGTAAAAAAGGGCACCTAGTTGGGGGACCTAGCCACATAGCTTCAAAAAATGGCCGCACAGCGGCTTGCTCGCAGGCGCTGATGGCCGCATTGCTAGCTCCGACGGAGGGCTCGAGGCGCAGCAAAGGCATGGAGAGAAGCAGCGCCACTGCTTCCCTGCAAATTTGTCAGTCTTCAGTTTAGGAGTTTAAGGGGCTGCTTTAACAAAGAAGGAACCAAAAGGAGGATGTGTTAGCAAATCGGGGATGTTTTAACATGCATTTGTTTGGAGGGAACCAAAAGGAGGATGGTTTAACAAATCGAGGATGTTTTAACATGCATTTGTTTAGAGAGAACCAAAAGGTTGATGTTTAAACAAATACTGATAATCGGCCTTATGACATGATGAAAGGGGGGGGGGGTTGGTCCAACCTGTGTGGACCCTAGACAAACTGTTGAACATCTCAATTGGGATCCCATTCACAAAACCGGGCCATGAACTAGGGCTTCCCTGGCGCAATTTGTCTGCAATGAGCGTTTTGCCATTGAAACAAAACATGGGTGACTGAAAGCGGATGGGCCGTGGACGCAACGAGCAACCTTGACCCCAGATTGAAACACCTGCATTGATAGAACCCTCCTGTGCATCAACCAGGGGTGTATCTGGGTGTGTCTCCAAGTGCGGGTTCCAAATACCTTTGAGACATACCATTCCACCAAACGAATTAGAAGTGCAAAAGCTTCCTTTCCAAGAGTAAATTCTCGTGCGAAAGGGGTGTGTGCACTTCCATCCCAAAAAATCCGTGTTGGTAATACGTACATATATAGATATAATATTTATATATACACAAATGTTTGGTTTATTTGGAGGGTGTCTTTGTGGGTAATATTCCATACATGGATTGTGTGGGCATGTTGGGCACTTACCTCTTGGGTGCGGTTTGGTAAAGGTAGGCCCCTAGATTCAGGACTTTGAGCACCTCTCGTTGTTGTCAGCCTTCCATGTTCCCCAAACAATCCATGCATGCATGTGAAATATGTATCCTCAACGACACCCTCTAAATGCGTACGTTCTGTTGGTACATAGTACCTACACTCGGATTGGCAGGCGTTCGCATCAACCAGTGAAAAATGAGAGCCCCTGTACTGAGTGCCCCTGTTTTTCCTCTGAAAATCCACTGGTCCAAAACTGGGCTGCCATCAGATCCCCCTCTAAAAGTGACTAACTTTGAGTGGGCTAAGTGGCAACTGCCACTAAACACTAAAAGGCTAAAAAGCTAAGGAACCGGATAGCTGGGAGTCACCAAAACTCGGATTGGCTGGGAGTTAGCACCAACCAGTAAAAAATGAGTGCTCCTGTTTTTCCTCTGAAAATCCAGTGTTCCAAAAATGTGTCACAATCCAAACCCGGAATTGAACTGGTCTACCCAGAACCATGCTTCAAGAATTAAGAAGGCGGGCGCAACTATTTCTGGCTGGGAGTGCCCCTTCTAACCTTTATCTACCCGAGTTTTGACTGTGGCTCAAACGGCGAGACTCGTTGAAACAAAACCGGGCCCCCGATCCTCCAGCGGCGGCTGCGCCCGCAGGCGGTGATGCAGGCGCCGCAGCTCACCTCGCTGAGGTCCATCGGTCGCCTGAGTCGTTGGAGGAAGCCCGTTGCTCGGTTGCTTTCTGCTCCCCTGCTAATTGTTTCTTACGTTTAGTGGTTGAACGGAAAGCCCATTAGATCCCGTTAGTTGGCAAAAAGTTAAAGTCCTAACATCCAAGCAAAATGCGCCAAAGTGTGGATGGAATCGCGCGGCTTCGTGCAGAAACCCCCGGCGTCTGAATACCAACACCTTCAGAAACCCCCGGTTCTGATACGACTTGTTCAGGCAAAAACAACAAACACTGGGTTCCTCATGGTGGGAAAGGGACATCATTGCAAGCTTGCTTACTCACCGGCTCACTCCCGTGGATTTGCAAAAACCAAGTGTCCGGTGCTTGTTTGCCACTTAAATGGCTTCCCCAACATGAAGTCCAGGAGCTCAGGGAGCAAGATGGTGGTTGATGTCATAAGCCATATGCTTGGTTGACCAACTCGGGCTTCAGGCCGGGGGTCGGCCAATGACCCGAGAAAAAGAACTTGTTGGCCAGCAAGGCAATTTGAACAGTTTTGGACATAAACCTAGAGATACCCTGCAAGGCAGCTACCAAGGCAACTCCTTTGGTCGGGGTCATTCCTTTTGGTCTCTGGGCATTAGCACAGGGGACCCTTCTAAAGGAACCTTCCCATGGGCCAAAAGACCGCACAGCCCAAAGGCTTCGATCGCTTAAGAACCAAGAGTTGGCTGCCTAGTACCGAGCCGGAAAATCCGCCCATCCAACAACCATCAAGCTGAGCACAGCTAAGGGCCAAGTAACAGCAGACTGCCGGAATCCTGTAGCTGTGGGTCCAAAATAGGTACCCAAAATGGAACCCTGGTAAAAGGAACCAAAGACTAAAACCTGCGTAACCCTAGTTCTTCAATTTTGAGCCACACCCATACAGCGAAACTCGCATGACTCGCATCCCAGCGGCAAGTGGGCCAACATCTCCAGCGCCTCCCTCCACTGCAGGCCCATCATCACTGCCCCGTAGCTCACTGCGTCGCTGAGGCGGTCCTACGCGCGCCGTCGACGTGCTTTTCTCTCGAGGCGGTGGGAGAAATTTTGCGCAAGGCTTGATGCTTGATTCGAACCCGGCACTCCAAATACCCTGCTTTTTTGGGGTGATGTTGACCCTCTACTACAAAAGGAGGTATTCACCATGGAAACCCAGGTTTCTCCAAAAGAACACCCGGAAAAAAGTTGGTTTTGGACCAGGAGATAAGGATAAACCCTCCCGAACAGAAAGACAAACGCCAAAACCTGTGCCACTGGGACAGTGAGCAACATCAACCACCCCTTGGTTTCCCAGCCTACCCTACTACTGATAAACATGAGGGTGCACAGGAAGACTACTGTCTTTGGAGGAAGTGCAATGCGTGTTGTGTAAGGTTTTCTTGCTTTCAGGTATCATGTGCGCGGGTGTTTGTTCAAAATGGACTTGAACTGCACTGTCCGAACTGGCCAAGTTGCCTGGGTGCTACATAGGAGGCCGGAAAAAAAAGAGAGACAAAAACAACAACATACCCAT